AATCGCCCATTGGCTTTGGTTCCAGCGGGAAATGTATGAAGGATCCTTTTGGCCAAAGAGAAGGGGAAAGTTTTGCAGCAGAAGTGTCGAAAATGGAAAATGGTAGTAAGTAGTACACGCCTCTTAAAGGGCAGACCTTTTTTCACTATGGACGGCAGTCTATGTAGTGACGAAGCGCACCAGGAGAGTGTGCGAAGGCGACTACTATTATATAGCCGCAAAATTGAAAATCTGCTGTGATAGTCCGATCGTAATGAGTAATACACCAATCGAAAGGTATTGCAAAAACTTAAAGGATTGCATACCAAGACTTTAAGAAAATCAATTGGCTTGGGAGAGAGAGCGGTGAAAGTGAAAAAGTGAAAATTTCGAAATTTGGAGCTGTTGGGGCCGGTGGATACAAAAGTTCTGATATCAACATTTGTGACGAAAAATTATTACACTCGTCATTAAATAGACTTTCTAATATTTTTTCATTCGGCACGCTGCAATAGAAAATGCCTGTGAAGGGAAAAAGGCTGGAATAGTCTGCTAGGGCGGGCCGAATGAGAAAATATTAGAAAGTCTATTTAATGACGAGTGTAATAATTTTTCGTCACAAATGTTGATATCAGAACTTTTGTATGTTGAAGGTGCGATCGTCACTAGTTTTTTACCTCGTTAAGAGGTGTTTTTATTTGATAAATGAGTAGTGTAGGTAGAACGTTCTCGTATTTCTAGGAAGGCATCAGAAAAAAAGTTTGATGAAAAGTTTAATAAAGTTGTGAAAAATATTTTGTAAAACTTTTACTTTCTAAGAAAAGCGAGTTCTATGAATATGCTTATTTTATTGAAATTTAACCAAGCAAAAGGGGTTTTAAAAGTTATTAATTATGAAAATAAACTGCAGATTTAAAGTTTTGCAAGTTTATCAGCTAAAATCTTAGCTTAGTAATATTTTAATTTTCCATTTGAAATCTCTTCTAAATGTAAATATAGAATAATCTTTTTCCTTCTAGAACTCATAGCTCGTATGAGTTTAAAAAATATTTTTGCATACTTTTAGACACCTATTTTGACATTTAAATGTGATTTTAAAAACCTAGTGATTCTATGTATGTTACCCAAAGTAATTAAGATTTTATTATCTTAAATAATAATCCCACCCATAAATTACCAAAAACAACTGTCAGTCACACTAATTTCTCGGTAAGTCAAATAGTTTAACCTCCGCTAAATCAGCTCAACCGCAAAACATCATTCACAACTGATGCACATGTGACACCGACCGACACCCCAATGGCAAACTTTGCATAATCCATGATGGAAATGGAAAATGGAAAATGAAACCGAATTTCAAATTGAAAATGTGTAAAACAAGAGAACGGCAATTAGTCGAGTTGGCCGCAATTGACCTTTTCCATTTTCCAATTCTTGAATAAATTATTTGCACGCTAATTATGCTTAATGCCCTCGTAGTTTTTCACAGTCATTTTCCAGCTGTTACCTGTTCGTTATAGAATATATGGTGTATTTCGCATCCGGCGACAAGTTTTGTCCGCTTCCGGTTGGCAATTAAGTCGGTTGGTTGGTTGGTTTGCTGGCAATTTGTATAAGCCACTTGGCTGATATTATTGTTATCGGTCTGTAACACACATTCACACACTCCTTTCTCTTCTGGCCATTTTTCATTTCACATTTATCTGGGCCTTATTCCTTGTGCTGTGCCACCATTTTATAGCCTGAATGCGGTGTAAGCCCTTTTGGTTTGCTTATTTCGTTATCATTATCCTGTTATCCTGCGGAGCTTCTGCTGCTGCCAGGAGTGGCGCATAATTAAATTATCTCGCAATTGCCTGCTAAGTGCGCCCGACATTCGTTTATGTAGGAATTTAGCAGGGTATTAACTCCCGCCCTCTCTCTTATTTCTTTATCCTAGCTGAGTTTTTATATTTATTAAGCTTCCTTTTTTCTGGCTTTTGTTCTTCTTTTTGCGGTCTGCCCTAATTATTATCTCTCGAAAAAATAAACTTGGTCCGCCACCCGTTCACAAAATAAAATAACGTCAATAAGTTTGAAGAACCTTAATTATTTTGTTTGGTTCTTTATATAAATTTTTTCTTCGTCTCACCAAAAACTTTCTGTGGGCAGCCAAGTTCGCTGTTTTGCTGGTGACCCAAAAACTCAAAAAACTGGACTCGAAAACTTGAAGAGCATTTTCCGATAAAAAGGCAGAAAGTGTTTTTTGTGCCGCTTACTGCGAAATCATTTTGTCATCTGCATCTGCAGAGAGTCCTTCCTCTCAGCACTTTGGCCCAAGGACAACATCAAAGGCTTTGCATAACAAATGCATTGTTTTGCCTTCAACTTCTCAGACTTGTAAGTATTGTTCCCAAAAGCTGTTGCACAAGCACATCCTGTTTGCTTAAAAGCTTCCTGCCAACAGGCTCCAAGGAGCGTGTGTCCTTGTTGCTCTGCTCTTGGAGAGCAAATGTGCAATTATGACCAGAACCTAGAACCCACATACATGGGCCCGATGATTGACGCCAGCCGACTGCCATAAATCAATAAAGTGCAACTTGAGCATGGAAAAATGTCAACGATTGGACAAACAGCCGAGCATTCCTTGAAGCCTTGACCTCCCTCAGCTCATCTGCTCATCAGAATTTATTTGCAAAAATAATGCCCATCATTGTTAATCAAAGGCGGACATAGGAGAAGATAGGAAGGATCTGGGGAGTAACCCCATTTGCTGACGCTGGTCAGCCATTGTTTTGCTGTCCGGTGGCCAATGGCCAGTTTCCAATGGCCAATGGCCGATCCGTTGGCCAGACATTTGCTAGTCAGGAATTCAGACCAACTCTGGCTGGCTTTTGGCCCGGCCTGCTGCCTTCTGTGTTTATTGTCCGACATGCAGGCACACAATCAAGGTTAAGACCATGGTAAAAGGTCTTTGGGGCAAAAAAGTATTATTTTTAGGTATCTAAACCTGTGTATGAATGTGTGAAAAGGGTATATATTTTTGTTAAAAAATTACTGTATTCGACTATTTTTGAACTTCCATAACAGGCAAACGGCAAAGTAAGTTCTCTTAAAGAAAACCAAGTTCAACTATTTAGCTTTCTGATAATTATTTCCAAAAGATTTAAAAACTTTTTTAACGGAGTTCTGAGTAATTAAACATAAGCAATTAAACATGTTGACTCCGCTTAAAATATTGCTATACAAAATAGCTGTAGCAAACATGTATAGAAACTAAGGCATTCTTTAAGGCGTAGGACAAATATCTCATTTACTTCAAATGTATTAAAATGTATCGATGAAATTTTTGTTTATATCTCAGTTTATTTTTATTTTATAGTTATAAATACTAAATTATTCGCCCTTTCGTAATATTATTACTCCACTTAAATATTCCTAATCTGTTTCTATTAACTTAACCCCGCCTGTGGACATGTGTCCATCCAAACATACAGGCCAACACATCCACACAAGTCCACACTCATGTCCTTAACAATGGGGACGTTTGCAAACAACAACTATGACAACAACAAGTATAACAACAATAGCAACAACCCGAGTGCCACTAACAACAATGGAGCACAAAATTGCGGCTGTCATCAGTGAGGAAATTTGCATTTTGCACAAATTGCAATACGTAAGCTCTGCTTTTCTGCTCCTAACCCATGCTATCCTATCCTCTACATTTTTGTGTTGTCTTTTAGTGGACCTCTATTTTTTTTGTTATTTTTGCACAACTACACAATTTATTGGGCCGCATATCAAATGATTTTCGGGGGACTTTAATGGGGTGTATATAAGTGCAGATGGACAGATAGCTATATGCCATAACATGGAATTATTTCGAACTCATTAGAGAAGGCAGCAGTAGTAGGGAAATAGAAGCAGGAGCGACAAGGAAATTGCATTTACCAACCCACCCACTCACATGCATATCAATTAAGCCCCGAAAATTGGGTGGGTGGGTTTTTGTATGGGTGTGTAAATGGGGGCGGCGAAAAGGGGGGCGTGGCGACAATGAGGCTGCTAATGGGCGGTGGGCGTGCCTCATTAATGTTGCAGGGCTCCGCGATCCGAATGCAGTTAATCGAAAGATTTTCCAGTCAACTGGCCTCGCGGGACTCGGAACTCGGGACACTGGCAGTTCGAAAATTAGAAATCACGGAAATAGTTTCCGCCTGTGCACTGAACTGAAGTGGGCGTGGCCAGGGCCATAATTCCATTGATTATGCCAGGTCCGCCGAATGGATTTTAATTCAATCATTCACAGCTGAACGATGTCAGCGGCAGTAGAGGAATAGTCGTAGGTACACATAGATTGAATAATCGAATTGAATGTAATAAATCAAGATTTAAATATTTATAAATATATATGGTTAACGAAATGTTCTAAAGAAGATTTAAAAAATAATAATAATAAGAACACAAATCGAATAATAGAAAATATCGAAATTATCGATAATAATCGAATCATCAAAATTATCAACAATATCGAAACTTAAAAAAAATTATTTATTAAAAGAAAAAAAGTGAATAGAAATATTTACTAGCGAGCATTTAAAAATATATATATTTATCGATTAATAAAGACAAAAATATCGAAATAATCCAAATTTAAAACTCTTTACAAATTAATAAGTTTAATAAGTATTTTTTGCTCTTTTTTCTAACCGTGCAGCAATGACGTTCATTACTCGCGTGTTAATCATACGCCACGTTGCACAGCTATGAGCTAATTAAGGTTCGAACAACTCTAGCCCCTCGAGAAATTTAATAGATTTCCAGTTTGACATTTTGTGTATATTGAGAGATTCAGAGAAAAGGGGTTTGTTTAAGTGGCTGCGGCCCGCTGAGTGTTTGCTGTGTAATGAATGGGTTAGCATCCTTTTTCCTTTGATTTATTGGTTTTGCTTTTCAGCTCTTTTTTATTTTGGTTGTGCAACCCACACAGCGGACGTGCTTTGCATAATTATTTCTCGATTGACAGGCCTCCGTTGATTTTATCCACCCAGTGCATGGCTCAAAATATAGGTATTCATCGTAAAGTTTTCAATAGTTGTAAATTCCTCTGAATTTTCAAAGTATGTGAAATTAAAGGGCCTTTCCTTGAGGACGAATTCAAATCCGTTCGAGATGGCCACAAAGGGTATAAAGCAAACGGTGATCATCAGCAGTAAAAAGTAATTGATGAGGAAAGCGGTCTCCAGGGAGAAGATGGTGGCTTCTTTGAATCTCAGTTCCCAAAATATGAGGTTAGAGCAGATCATATTTTTAGGTGTATTGCCAGTTAGAATCTGTGAATTGAAATAGATCAATAAATAATTAAAGCTATAATATTTAAGTTATATTACCATCATATCCACAATATCTTGGGTCTGCTTGTAGCGCTTTGTGTTTCTGATATTCAAAGTTCTCTGACATATTTCTTGCGACTTCCAAAGACCCCTGAGTAACTTATCTCTCTGCGACTTGTAGTTCCAAACAACCATCAGCAGAGTGCCAATCAAGACGACTAAGTTCGCTAGATATCTAAACTGCCAATCTTCCAATCTTAGCAAAACCAATCGGTTTTGTTCATAGTCAAAGCCAGCTTCAAATATTACAGATCTGTAGAAAATTATTGATATGAGCAAGATCACTGATGATATATAGACACTGAAATAGTGGGATATATCTCGCTGAATCTTTGCCAAACGACTGTGTTGTTTTAGAATATTCCTGAGCATTTTCCAGCGCTGTTTATTTCTGAGTTCCGCCGTTAAAACCTGGTTCATAACCACATAGATGGAATGCAGCCAAATGTAGCTGTTTACCATGAAGAGAAGCTGAAGATGCCAACCAAGCAGACAGGTGAATACAGTCCAACGTTGGACGTCATTTTTCATGGACGTCATTTGCCAGTAGATAACGAAAAAGATTTCAATGATAATCAGCCAGGAGCAGCAAAAGGCTCTCTTTACAGACACACAAAACAGAATTCCCATTGTGGATTGCAGCTCCCTGTGAACCTTTGCCATTTGATTCAAAGTTCTCAGCAGGGATTTCTTCAGGTGTATATAGTAAAGGCATGGCAATATGTAGACATACAGGCTGCCGCGATCAATGATGAATTCATCGAGCCAGAGAAAGTAGAAAACAAGGCACAAGAGGCTGTAGAAGTAGACAAAGTAGATGAACACCTGATGGCCAAAGCTGAACTTCTGGGTGTCCTCATTGTAGTGCAGATTGTACAGGCACAGCAGGTGGCACACCTTCTTCTGGTAATCGAAGTAGCTGACAATGTGGCACACGCAGAGCAGTTTGTGCAGCGGCCCTGACAGCGGCATGTTTCCAACTAATTGGACTAACGACATCGGACGACAGGACAACAGGGCGAGTCGACGAGTCCTGTGCAGTCAAAGGAGCAAAAATGCGACTGGGGGGGCAATAACAATTTGGTGAGTACTTAGCTCTAATGTGAGGATAGAGTTACACGGTGATAAAATGTAACAACAGTTTCGTAAAAGTAAAAGTTCTGCATTTAAAAGCATTTAATTTAATCAACTTTGGAGTCTCATGTGGTTTGAAATAACCTGTCTAAAATTATGCCACAATTTATGTTTAAGCAGGATATTTTGTGTACAGTTTTTACTGCATACTTTTAGACACCTTTATTAGTGATTTAAGTTACTTACTAAAGTTTTACGGAAGTTTTCTAATTTATAACCCTATTAAATAAGATCTTAATTATTTTAAAATAAATATGATTTATATTTATTTATTTATAAAGTATTAAGCTCGTATATTAAAAAAAAAATAATTTATTGTCTGTTTACCCTAAAATTCCTCGTAGTGTTGCTCTCCTCTCTACTTAGAACCCTTCGCAAATGCTTTTAGCAGAAAAAAGCATTCTGGAGCTGCGGATAATTGATGGCATCGCCACACAGTGAAACCACTTCAATTAGCGGACTCTGTAGTCAGTCCCCCAAATCGATAAGTTGCACACGCTTAAATATTTAAAAATTTACCCGAACCGTCGCAACGCTGCTGTCAGACCCACTTCAGATTTGCGTCGCTCACGTAGCAAACTAATTTATTTGCAAACTGGGAATTCACCGCAGAGCCAGCAGCAGAGGCAGCACACCTTTGCAAAAAGCGACAAGGAAAAAAAGTGGGTAAAATAAAGCGGAGAGTGTGTAAACTCGGTCAAAACCTGACTTTCAGTTCAGCACCGAATGGCGATTAATTTGTTCAGGTCTCAATCGCTGCTTACACTCACTTCCCTCATTCGAGTTTCGACTCTCCACTTGCCACTTGCGAAGGAGATTTGCATGGCAGCATATCGGCCATGTTCATCGCAGCATAACCCAAAACTGTCAAACTCAAGCGGCTCCTTCCTTAGGCGACTTTTCTACGCTGCTAAACGTACTACACACAAAACAAATTTTGTGTAAATCTTACTGAAATAATTCTGTAATTGATTTCTTACAAATTCTTAAAAAGGTGTCGGAAAGTTTGCAACAATAAATTTTGAATACATACTGATTTTACTGCATACTTTTGCGCTCCCTAATAAAAGTTTTCTTAATCCCGATGATTATAAAAATACTAATTTTATAGTTTCTAAATTCTTTAAATTTATTTCTTGCTAAACATTTTCTTTGGGTGCACCTACTTTCCTACTCAGCTTTCACCGCTCGCCGTTTACTTTGTCATTTCAATTTTGAATTCGTGTCGTAGCGTTCAGCGCTTTTATGTGGCATTTTTAAAATCCTGTACATGTCGGCCCAGGCACGGATATCCAAGGACCGAGGACCAAGGACCAAGGACCGAGTTGACTGGGCACCAGTACTGAGAACCAAGGACCTGCTCGGGCGCCACGTTGGAATTCAATAAAGAGCTTCGACCGGCCGATGTCGGGACACTAGGCTGTTGGATGTTGGGTTTTGCCTTTTCCTTTTCCCAGAATTGAAGGAAAGGAAGGGAAGGAAGGCAGGAAGAAGGGCAGACAGTTAGCCGGGCATGTTTGTCAAACAATCATTAGAGACGTCAGTCGCGTGGAGGCTGAAAAGCTGCAGGAATGTAGGCGTTGGAAAACATCACAATCAGCGTTAGCAGCTGCCGTCTGGGCCACATCACCATCACACCTAAGCGAAGTAGATGGCTGATATCCGGCGACCACTTCATTAAGTGCGAATTTACGACGGCAGTTAAATAAGACGTCATTGTGGGGGAAAAAAGGGGTGGGATATTATTGAGGCTTTCAATGTGGAATGCCAGAAGCTCTTCAGCTTAATTTATTTGGCAAACAGAATTTTTAGGAATTTTATTTAAAGGTTTTTAAGAATTTTTTGGGTAGCGGAATCTTTAGAAGTATTTCTTAAGCAAACCTCTTTTTTTTAGAAAGCTATTAAATTAACTAATTTTCCATAATATTTATCATCATCATTACTATTAGTCTCAAACTTGTCTGTTTACGAAGGTATTTTCCCCCTTTAAACTTTTCAGCTTGTCTAATTTTCTAAGCCTCTCCATGGCTTAATTGGACAAAAGTCTGCCACAATTTTTACCACCAAAGTTGCTGCCACTTTACTTTTTATCACTATGGACGGCAGTCCATGTAGTGACGAAGCGCACCAGGAGAGTGTGCGAAGGCGACTACTATATATACACGAAGAAATGAAAATCTAGTGTGATGGTCCGATCATAATGAATGATACACCAATCGAAAGGTATTGCAATAACTTAAAGGATTGCATACCAAGACTTTAAGAAAATCAATTGGCTTGGGAGAGAGAGCGGTGAAAGTGAAAAAATGAAAATTTCGAAATTTGGAGCTGTTGGGGCCGGTGGGGATAAATGCCCCCTCGCAATGTTTTAGTTGTATTCCTTTTGAAAATACCCGTCGAATGAGGGGTCATTTGTCAAAATCCGACGCTCCGTTCAAAAGTTATAGCCAAAATAAGATTTCCTTCTTCTTCCCAAAATGAAAATTTAATTCTGTTTGTCAGTTTGTCAGTTTGTCAGTTTGTCAGTTTGTCAGTTTGTCAGTTTGTCAGTTTGTCCAAAACATGTTTCTTAAGTTTTGAAAATTTAATATGACGTTCATCCCATCGATATAAAAAACTTTTGTTCTACCACTTTTGGAAAAACTCGCTAGTTTAGCGGGAAAACAGCTATAAATAGCTAAAATTCGGAAAACCGTAACTTCTATACTACTAAAGCTACAGACTTGTGCTGCATCTTGTTTGAAAGGTATTTTTAAATGCTATAAACGCCTTCTATATGCAATTTGTGTAAATGTAATAATTAAAAAGATATGAACAAAAGACAATTTTTTAAAACTTTTTTTTTAGCTTTTTTTTATTTTTCTCAAAAACGGCTCTAACGATTTTCTTGAAAACTTTAAACTGTATAGCCCTTGAGATTCCTTAAATTTTGGTATATAACACATTACTGTAAAAAGTCACGTTTAAAAGTTATTTTTATACGAAAATAGCCACTTTTGCCAGCTCGAACAATTAACGCTCCCTGAGTATTGAATTTTGTGGGAGGGTATCCGAACTGTATTTTAGGGTCATGGAATCTGTAAATTTGCACTTAAGAGTTCCATATAGGAATCTTTTGTTCTACGACTTTTGGAAAAAGCCGCTACTTTAGCGGGAAAAAGCTAAAAATAGCTAAATTTCGTTAGTTTGTAAGTTCTATACTACTAAAGGTACAGACATGTGCTATACCTTGTTTAAAAGGTATTTTGAAATACTTCAACGCCTTTTTAACTTAATTTGTTAAAATACAATAGTTTAAAAATTATGATTGACCAATTTAAATTTAAATGTATATATTAGCTCCTATGAGAGCAAATGTAAACAAACAAAAACTTCTGATATCAAATAAAAACACCTCTTAACGAGGTAAAAAACTAGTGACGACCGCACCTTCAACATACAAAAGTTCTGATATCAACATTTGTGACGAAAAATTATTACACTCGTCATTAAATAGACTTTCTAATCTTTTCTCATTCGTCACGCTGCAATAGAAAATGCCTGTAAAGGGAAAAAGGCTGGAATAGTTTGCTAGGGCGGGCCGAATGAGAAAATATTAGAAAGTCTATTTAATGACGAGTGTAATAATTTTTCGTCACAAATGTTGATATCAGAACTTTTGTATGTTGAAGGTGCGGTCGTCACTAGTTTTTTACCTCGTTAAGAGGTGTTTTTATTTGATTATTTTATACTGAATCCACAGGATTTTCCAGTGCGCAGCTGTCCACATTCAACATTCCGGCAACTGCAGCAATTTTCATTAGCTTAAAAACTTTGCCTTACCAAACTACATTTTTAATAAGTTTGTTTGTTTTATTTTTTATCGCCCAGCCCAGTCTCTAAAAAATGCAGAAAGGGCATGTGGAACGAGGGCAAACGAAGGAAAGAGCATCAAAAACATGCATAAATCATCAAAAGCATCTCTGACAACTAATGAAAATATGCAAAAATTTATAGCTCAACGAAATCGACGAAAAAAAGAGCGTTTGGCTAAAGCGTCGAATCAAAAAGAAAAATCCCCAATAAAAAGTTAAAGTAAAAAAACAAAAAATAAAAGTAAGAAAGACTCTCCAAATAGCCGAAAGGCAAAAAGCATTTAAATTGAAAAAATGGCAGTCGAAAAATAAATTCATTTGCTTTATGCATGCCGCACGCAGCAGGCAAAAACCAAAAAAAAAAGAAGAAAAGTGGAGCCCGAGTGGCAAGTGGCAAGGACACAGACAGGATGTGCGGTAGGAGTTTTATGTGGCAGTTTATTTTGGCGACACTATCACAGGAACGGCCACCGACACACAGGCTCGAACCCTTCTAGCCACTCGAAAAAATTGTTTTGAGCAGCTTAAAACCTAAGCGAATGATGCTCATCACTTTTTGTAAAATTAATTTTTTGATAAATTTTTGATTTTTTGAGAAAAATTACAAAAAATTAAAAGATTGAGCTTTGAATGCCAATCGATTGGGAATTAATTTACGAGCTCAACGCGGTATGACAATCCATACTTGGACCATTTTTGGTCTTGTTTCGAACCAAATAGTACATTTTTAAAAAAAAATTGGAATTATTTAATTTGTTTAACAATTATTTTAAAAGCAGTCATCGTTTTAAAACATGTTTCCTTCTTAGATAATCCTTAGATAATAAATTCATATACAATTCATTTTTTGTATATTTTACTTCAAAAGCCTATCTAGTAAATTTCTCTGAGTGTACCCCTAGGTTCCTGCTATTTGGCCACTCCTTTTTGCCGTTATACGCCTGTAACAGGACGAAGGTCCCGGAATGTGACACGATGCGGCGACGAGAGGACAACGATGCGGCCATGTATAAAATTTTTCACAATTGCAATTTGTAATAAAAACATGCACTTTTTCCCATTGTTATATGCGGCCACACATGATGTGCACTGTGCTGCACTGTGGAATGGCGATGGAGATGGAGATCACCATTACATTCATATATGCGGGCTGGGGAAAGATACATGCGTGTAAAACCATTTGCCGGGCGATGAAAAAGTCAGGAAAAAAACTTGGACCAAGATGCCAGCAACGAACCAGCCAACCAACCTACAAACCGGGGGAGAACCGGTGCGACAGCGATGGGCAGACAGAGATATAGGTGAATCTGGGGGATCGGGGATAAAAGTAGGACGACGCGCTGCCCTCTTATGGCTTTATGCCATTTTAAGTGCTCCGCCCATTTCATAGCCATATCCATGGCCACATCCACTACCACATCCACTTCCACATCCGCAGTCGCATCCGCATCCGAGTGTCAACTGTTAAAGCGGTCCAGAGTGCAACTCCGCAAATAAACAGAGCATAAAATATGATTGTCGTTATTTTTTTCCAAGTAATTCTCAGGGGACGAAAAAAACGCTCTGTGAGAGGCAGGTATGTGTGTTAACAATGGAAAATAATTGATAGTGGCTGATGCTCTTCATATTTATGAACAAAACCTTGTATAAAATATATTTAAAAGTTTTTCGCAAAGGAATAATGAATTTGGTGACCAGTGGCGCACTCTAAAGTAATTGCTCTTATTTTTGTCGGAGTAAATAAATGTGAAAAGGATACCATTAAATATATTATAAATAACTACCAAATATTTAAGGATCATATGAATTTATCAATGTAATTAATTCTTTAAAAGGTAAGCTAATTCCATTGATATTTTTCTTCTTACTATAATCTTTTTTAATTCTTTAATATGTATACTGTTTTCTATAATATTTTATTTTGTATTCCTATTATTATTAGCGCAATTAATTTACTAAATGAAGAACACTTCCACAGCTAATTCCATAATTATTTTAATCATATTTACGATATTTCTACAACATTGGTTATCCCGTCATCTCATAATAGAAACGACCTTTCCCGAGGTTTTATTCCTGTTACCGATATAGCTTTCTGATAGTTCAGTTACTTATAGTTCATTACCGAAAATGGAGAAGCACGCAACTGCCAGGGGTTTTTGTCTGTGTCACTTGATTGCCGTTTGGTATCAGACCGGAAGGATCGGTCTATATTTGGGTTTCTATAATGTGGGCTATGCGGAACACCTGAGAAAATTTATTTGCGATGAGCAGCTATATGTGCAAATGATGGCTGTGGTTAATTTGCTGGCCAGTTGCCTTTATATGTGCTTCAGTCATCGTTGGATCTACGATCAGTTTGTCTTTCTGCTATATATCCCACTTTATGTGTACTTTTTGATCCTGCGAAAACATCTTGCCAAGCTCTTAAACGAATGTGCTGGAGTGCATAAATCAATGCAAAGAATTCTCGGCAGTCGATTGTGTGTTAAAATCCACAGAGAATGCATCTACAACTTGCTACTCATAGTGATGATTATTTTACTGCTTGCATGGCAACTTCAAATCTACTCGGCTTATCAGAGTGTTTTAATATTCGGCGTGGGATTTATCTACCACTTTGAGTTGCTCTTTTATGGAAACTATCTAATATGGCTAAGTTGTATCTACAGATCTCTGAATGTTTTCCTCTCTCGAGAGATGAGAAGTGATAGATTGTATACTTTAAGAGGAGTGCTAAGACAGCAGAAGATTATTTGGCTTGTTCATCGAAGCGTCTCCAAATATTTTGCCCTGCATATAATAAGTTTTATGATCCAACCGGGAGTTAAAATGCCTATGATAATTTATAGCTCTGGTCAGCACCTAAATGCACAAATGATTTCGTTAGCTTTACATTTAGTTTTGCTGGCTTTGTTCTTGATAATTGCGTTGAACCTGGAAAAACAGCATCGGAAATTTCAAAAGAGTTATCTGAAATTAAAAGACGATCCCGACTACTTTGTTTTGAAATCCTGGCGATTGTTACAGCATAGAACTTTGCCAAAAGCTTTTGGAGTGACATTAATAAGAAGAAGGGAAAAAGTTATGTACAATCAAGATGTAATAACCACGATGGTAAGTTCTTACTTTGGATGTAAAGTTTGATATATTAAAATTTAAAAAATCGGAAAATATCGCATATATAATATATCTATTTTACAAAGTATCAATATATCGATATCTTTCGAAATCCCTATTATTTTCTTCATTTATTTAACATATTTTCACCATTTTAACATTTTAGTTCACCAACAACTTTCCCGTTCTGCAGTTAACTAAAAAAACCTTTTATTTAACAACTTTTGGTTTCGGGGCTCTTAGCTTTGGAATTTCTTTGTCCATGTTAAGGAGTTGCCTAAAAACCCACATGCGTGAACTTCTGCTAATGGTTGTTACTCGCTTACTTTTCCACAAAAACCGAACTTTGCAGGACTTTGAGTATGAGTCGCAGGATGATTTCAATGGCAATGTGACACAAACAATTAGTCAAGTCTATCGCTTTTATTTCTATGATGAGTTCCAGTGAATAATAAACCGCACAATGGGACACATTAACTTAATTAATTAACAATTACTTAACGGTTTTGGGTAGAGTAAATATGGCATAAATGCCATGAATACTTTTAGTTGTTTTTCGAAATGCCACGACTTCGTTTCATCTTTAACATAGCCAAAGAATTGCGATTTCCCCTGCATTTCTTTGGACTTCTTCAGCTAAAATATTGTGAATCCCGAAAAGTATATCAACAAAGAGCCAACCTGTGCAGATTTTTACCTGCTATTTTTATTTCGCTAATTTTATTATTCCACAATCATGTGAGTAATTCGCTGGATGAGGAGAATAAGCTGGTAAACTCACTAAATATTGAAAAGAGACCTCAAAGAAGTGGGATAGAAATATGGAACGAAAAGTTAACCAACATCTGGATTTTTATGACTCTCATTTGGTCTTTGATGAGAAAGGATCAACTGTGGAAATTAATAAATGAGGCGCAATTAGCCTATAAACACCTAAAATCTCTCCTTGGAAAACATTTAATGCTCGAATGTTCCTGGCTCTTTTTCATCTATGGATTAATTTTACTTCTTTTACTGGCTGTTTTTGGAGTGAACCTACTATATTTTTGCATACCAAAATTTAATAGCGAATCTAAAACTTTTACCTTTGAAGACCTCTATCATGTTTCGAATTATATAATGGGAATACCACGATTAATGTTTACACTGATTATAACTATGCATATTCTATATCATCTGATAAATGCAGGATGGCTTCAATCCCTAGGAAAGTTACGATTACAAAGAAATCTCAAATTGTTTCAGTTTCAACTTCGTACTATTTTTTCTATACAAAAGAACACAAATATCTTGGCTGGTCATTATTTTAAAATTTCCTATATATGCTATACATATATGATAGTCTTTCGTATAGCGGAATTTGTGCAGTTATTACGTTTTGATACCAATGAATTTGTGCAAAGGCAGAAAAGCCAAGAAGATCTGGAAGATGAAGCCGATTGGGAAGGCCAAGAAAATGGAACAAATCCCAGGGGCTCACTGATGAAATCTGTGCTTATATTATCTTGGCATTTGGCTTTGTGGATTTTACTACTCGCTGCAGCTTATAAACAGCAAGAGGAATATTTTGAATTGATGGAAAAAAGCTGGAGTTACAAAACAGATGAAAATGGTTGTGAAATGAAGGAATTCTTGGCTGAAAGTTCTTGGAATGGTCATAGCTTTAAACAATTGGACATTCTGGACTTAATGGTATTACTGCTTACCTACTATTATTATTTTTTCTTATAAATAAAATACTTATTTATTTTCTTTCAAAGTTTCTTTCAGGAATCTCTATTTGCGAATATCAACCTTCATCCATTTGCTTTGTGACTATCAAGCTTAGAAAAAAGAACTTAACCTACATAAATTTAAACATAATATCAAGACCTTTTAAGTTCCTTTTAAATTTGGTGACTTCCGCCAGCATTGTTTACTTTGTGCAGCAAATGGAACTCAGGCATCTGCAGGAATACCTCAAACGGGAAGCATAATAAACTTAAACTTACGCAACTCATCATTATGACAAATTAAATAATAATTAAATTAGTATATAAATAATTTATGGGGACAGCAGAAACCCAGATGCTTTGTGTCCACTTTCCACCTTTCCCTCAATTACTTAATGAATACAAAGCAGCCGGGCGAAGCAACCTTTCTGCCATTTTAATGACCTGACCTCGGGGCCTCTTCAAATATCACAGACATAAAAAGGCAACCCTCAAAACTTTTGCCATTATGAACATAAAATGGAAAGCAACAAATGGCCGCCGTATTGTTGTTATTCCAATGGCCTTGTATCTATAGAGTATCTTAAGGATACGCACCTTTTTTTTTGCTGGGTGGCGCCAAAAAAAGGTGTAATTTATGCGGCAAACTTGATTGAATTTATTCGCAGTCGAGATTTACTCCCAGGCACACACAACATATCGTTACAGTGCGAGAAAATCAAATTAAATCCAATAAATTAACATAAATCTGAGTAAATTCCCTGGCACTCTGTTGCCCACTCTCCACTTGGTATGCAAATGGCGACTGCCTGTGCTCCCAGATTTTTTACATATATTTTTTTTTATTTTTCAAGCTTCCTCCCAGTCGTGTGACTCCACTTCGATCGATTCCAATAAACTTCTTGCCACACGATACGAGGCAAGTGGCAACTGGCAGCATATGCGCTTTCGCTGCAGCCGCCGGCAGCCAGTCACCGAAATTCAATCAAGGCAAGAATTCGAAAAGCCAAAAAGGAAATGAGTCGACCGGATTAAGGCAAAGGTTTGAGTTCACTTCACTTCAAATCAGGAACCACTTTTTGATATTTTCTAAAAGCTTGAAAATTTAAATTGCTGTAAAAATAATTGTAGTAAAATAAAAAATAAATAGGGGAAAATGGCTTTGTGGCACAGAAAGAAGAAATAAGTATATAAAATATATAAAATATAGTTTGGAAAATATTTCTATGTATATGATTAATTTTCATCACTAAAAGTAATTGTAAAAATTAAAATCGATTTTTTTAATTTTTAAGGATTCTAGGCAAGTTTTTCTTTGTACTTTAGATTTTCAAAACTAGAATTATTAAAAAAAAGTTAAAGCTGCTCATTTTGTTTACATCTTAAGGAACGTGAAAAATTACTCATTACATTTCTTGGAAATTATTCAATCTTATAGATTAATACTTGCTAAAAGAAAATATGTTAATAAAAATAAATGTTGAGTACTTCTGTAATATTATAAGTACCAAAAATAAATCAAATTTAAAATCCGAAGTGCCTAAACGGTCATCAAAAAATGATTCATCTCAGCAACTTCATAAGACATGGCCGAAACTTCTGGACAAAGAGATTACTCTGCAGACAGTTCAGTGCAAAAGTTTCGCATCTCAAATGAATGGCAAAAGTCGCTCGAGTTTAATCCAAATTTTTTCTCTTGATCAGCAAAACCACTTAGTGCGGCGGATGTTCGAGCACTTAAAGAGTGCACCTTGAAATGGCGTTTTGGCATGGCTGACCCGCTGCCATTTCGAATTGGGCGCCGCCATTTTGTCGGCCATTTTTTTTTTGTGTCGCGAAATGTGTGTAGGCGCCATGTCTATATGTGTCTGCAATTTTCTTTTGGCACTTTTGAAAGTCTGCCAAAAAGTGGACAATGCCAGAGAGGCGGAAAAAGTTTACTTTAGCTGCAGTTGGGCGAAATAACGATATAATTCGATATATTCCGATATAGTAATAAAATGACACGTGTGTTTGCGCTTGGCATCCGCGGAAATTATTGATTATGTGTTTTTGGGGGCGGGACAGGACGGCACACGGTTGATTGTCTGCGGTGACAGCTGTCAGCTGAGCATTTCGGCCGCCTTGACTTCTGGCATGCATAATTAATGCACATCGGTTGGGAAATGGGGACTACAAAAGTCAAAGGGTCGCCCTGGGATGGATGGATGGATGGATGTCCTGGCGAAGTGTGGCTAATGAAATTTTAATTAGTGCAAGACAAGCGATAAAAAGACGCAGCAACGAAATTACCATAAATGGCAAAGCCTGAGGAAAATCAATGATAAACAGGGCCGCCTGCTCACACACATATGGCCTGGGTTTCCGGGGCAATTACATGCATCAAAGATTCATATCTCCTAAATGCCGCACGGCGTCCTCATCGTCGTTTCGTCGTCGTCTTTCCCTTTTCATAATGCCATCATAATGACTTTATCTCTCAAGCAGGCAATAAATCTTGTGGGCCCCAAAGGAGAGAGCCCTAGATGTATAAAATCCGAAAAGAGGGAGGCTGAGGTTGCCATGGCCGGTATAATGAAATATTACGCATACGCACAGTAGGGCACTCATCTAACCCACTTTCTTTGGCCCACTTTGCTGTTCGCTGCTGCTGGCCTATCATAAAAGTTAATTAATACGGCTTGGTTAGCTGCTAAATACAGCGCAAAATATGCCCTATAACCCCCAACCCCCCGCTACTGACGTCATTTATCATTCTGCCCAGCCAGTGGCACATGGGGCGTATGCGTAATATGCGCTGACAGTTAGTTGACCACTGATTTTAAGCCTGCAGCATCTCATCCTCATCCGCTGGCGTTCGCCCCGGGTTGCTTTTGGTATCAGCCATCAGCTATCAGCGAATGGGAAATCATTGGAAATTGCACAAAACAAATTTGCATGTAAATTCCAATGGGCACATTGTCGACTCGGCGAGATTAAAATGGGGAATTGATAGAACACCAGATGACCAGTGCTGGACTTAAGGGAAATATTTCAAAAAATTAATAGAGTATTTAGATGTTTTAGTTTCTAGATTTATTATAGAAATTTTATTTTAATACAAGTGCATTCGTACACGAAGAATACTATTCTTTACTTACTGCATACTTTTAAGGATTCAAAAAATAAATAAATTTTATTTTTTTATTTTAACATTTCCTAAGTATCATCGGTACTTCCCATCATCTAATGATACTAAATGGTTTTATTTAAATGTAATAAAAATCCAAAAAACAATTGCTATATTTTCTGTGAAAATTTGTAGTCGCAGTTTATCTTCAATCGTTTTATTCATCCCTTCGATTGACTCGACATTCCCGCGATTACCCCTCAATAAGGTGGCTAAAAAATATGCAAACGAAGTGTAGTATCTATGTAAATGTTTGTTGGTCTACAGTCTGGCGCGGGTTTTACCTGCCATTTGGCATTGTGCGGAGCGGATCCTTTTTCCCCAGCCTTCCCAATTTGCATCTGCCCCTCACTTATTCGCCATACGTAAACGTATACTATATTATTTGAATCTCCGGGGGCCGGGCAAGAAAATATGTTTCGTTTTTAAACAAATCCAAATGAAATCTGTGCATAACAACAAAGTTGCTACCCGAAAAAAGTTTTCATCTGACGAAAACGGGGAAAAAAATAAAAAGAGACTTTTGGACTAAAGAAAGAAAAACTTTGGCTGTGCATTTTGTTTTCTGATAAATTTATCCAGATATTGAAATCTATTTGTAATATTTCTTTCTTTTCCTTTTTTGTTTTTTCTGCACTTTGATATGGAGCGGAATGCCTGATGAAATTCTGTACTGTATACACTTTTGATTGAATTTTCAGTTTGCCATTTTGCCTTTTCCATTTTTGTGCCTTCAGCCGGAGGCAAATTAGAGATTGTAATGGAAACTGGGGGGTTGAGTGGGAAAAATAGGTTCTGTAAGCATTTTCCGAGCAACAATCTTCAATTACAGACGGTAAATTGCTTGGGGCGAAGTTTTCGGTAAGGGAAAAAGTGGAGATGTCGAGATTTAATCACAATTAACGTCATTCGGGCAATCGGATAAAACCACAAAAGCCAATTAGTCGGCAACAAACTTCTGGGCTGAATGTATCACAAAATCACAAAATATGGGGGAAAATCTCTACTGAAAAGTATTAAATATCGCGATAATTGCGTCATAATGGCAAACAAGTGCATAAACAAAGATAAGGCTAAAATCATAAATAATGCTGAAATTATGCATGAAATCCCGGGGAACAAAAAAGTGCAGCTGTCAATTGAATTTATTATATAATTAAGTGCAATTTGTGTGCCGCTAATTGCAGGCGCTGTTTTTCGGGGTTCATTCGCGGCTAATTATTTAATGCCAAGTAAAAAATAATGCAAATTGGGCAACGTTAATTCACCGAGCATGATTTAAGGCTCATTAAAGTACGAAATTCACACAAGTCAATTAAATTTTAAATACACGAAATGGCCTTATCTGTGATTAAGCTTAATAGTTGCCAATTTCACGCTGATCAGTTAAAGGTTTTAAAATGCAAATCAATAAAGTAAAATTCTGATGAGCTTTGTTTGGTACATAAAAGCATATGTGACACCACAGGCATATAATTATATTTTAAGTACGGAAAAAAATGCAATCATTTTAAGAATGTTTTTGGTTAATATCTGACAAATAACAAACAATCCTCTTTTGAACTTTTACAAAAGCCTTTACACAATTTGAAGCATTTGTGTGATATTTCAGGATATTTCACATATATTTAATATCCTCAACCGCAACAATAGTTTTAATCCATGAATAATCATTTTGTTAAATATTCCCATTGAACATTTTCCCACACTTTCCCCTCACTTAGTTGCAACTGTTAGGTGCCACAGATTTTTAATTAATCAATGACAAATTGTGCAAAATACACGTGCGACCGCACTGTGTGTGCTCAATGGCTGATTAATTAAACAACAATAAATGCAGACAGCATGCAATGGCCGCGCCCCACTGATTTTTATATTAATTATCAAAATGTTGGCCGGCATTTTAATGTTATGTGCAAATTTGTATCGCTCTTTTGCTCGGCTCGGCTATTTGCAGGCTCATTAAAAACGGACAATGCCTGGCTGCATTTGCCGCCGTCCCGCTGTTTTCGTTACTCATTAAATGGCATTTTCATTAAAAAAAGCAAGAGCTGCGGAGAAATTAAATTGTTAACTTTGAAAGTTGGCTCTTGAT